AGAAACCACGGACAGAAATGCTATAAAGAGATCATTGACTAGGGTTCACATACGTTTTCACAATGGATGTTCAAAAATTATCCCTGAAGATTTTACAACATGCAGATCGAAATGGCCAAAGACTTTTCCGACAACCTAATACTTTCTGAGTGCAATGATGAAGACGGTGTCCGTCATCGCCATTGTACTCAGAAAGTATTACACCCATTACCAGAACTCTACCACAACCATCACGCTCCTCTACTCAACGTTCTAACATGAAAAATACCAAGTTGAAAAATAATGCTCATTTGCGTAAAAATTTAGCGCGCATAGGCCTGTCGTCAAGTGTGAAGACGCAGCTTTTCATCAAGTCCAAATCACAAATAGTGTGACCCAAAATTATGAGAAAACTAAGCCCTTCCATTTCGAAAGGGTGTAGCGCGTGAATGCGCAAAAAAAGGAGCACATGCTAGGGAAAACAGCGCCGCTGAAAATTAGTGTATTAAAGGAAGCGATTACGATAAGGAATTTTCGCATCGGGGGAGAATCCTGTCTACACGGAGCAATTACTTGGCTGCCAAGGAAGCAAGGAAGCAGGTTTACTTCGTTGATTTGGACGAGCTGCGTGACCAGCAGCGGCGCAAATGGAGTATCTCGATTAAAGCGTACTTTGGCATGGTGCCATCAAATTCGTTGCGGTGAACTCGTTCATACGTCTTAGCTGTTACCTGTTCATGAGTTGAAACCAACGGCCAAAAAAGAGGGTCCCGTTTTGCGTTTTCTTGACGGATTTTTCTGCTTTTTTTCGCTGCTGGGGTACCATTGAGCACCACCACGTCACACTAAACCCTTCTTGAATTTATCGTAACCGCTGCCTTTAAGGATTTTACTTCGTAATTGGCAGTAAGTGAACATTGATTGGAGCAGTTGCAATTAACACATTTACCGACGCCTTCTGCTCTACCACGACCATCACGCTCCTCTACTCAATTCCGGAGTGAGCTCTGTATCGGATGACAACACCGCCCTCCCTCGACACCTGCCACACAAGGTACAGTAAGGGAGTTTTTAGTTCTTCACTTCTATGAAGTTTTTTCTAATCGGATGTCCTCGATCGTACTAGCGACATAAGTCTAGGCCCCTGCTCAGAGTCTAAGTGAATGGAAAGAACCACGGAAATATCCCTCCAACAAACCTAAAGGATTCTTATAAGCAGACCATCCGCGCAGCACTTGTTAGAGAACAAACGACCCCACGTTTGTTCGTAACTCCGGACCACTATCGATGCGCTCCTAGACTTCGAAATCAAATAAGTTCAGAAAAGCACTTAGTAAAGGTATCCGAGTTCTTCGTCTCAAGACGCGATAAATGTGTATGAAGACCTCATTTCAATTGACCGATTTGACCCAATGGCCATTCCTGTTAAGCGGAAAACATCTCTCCTACGGTGAGTTCTTTCCACTGAATCCGGGCTTACTTTGGATCAAATAAAATCGCGTTGTACATCCTTATTAAGCATGTTGAGTTTGATTGTTAGAAATCTAAAATGCTTTGACATACATTTAGAGATAACCAAAAACCGTTTCGATAGAGTCGTGCAAAAATCGCAAATTTCCTGAAACCTGATGACTAGCGGAGCCAAGAGTTTATAAGGTCTCGAACTCTACCTAGTTGTAATTCAGAACGACAGTCTCCTGCCGAGACGCGCACGTAATAGTCTACCAGAAGGAGGTTTCATGTCTTCAGAAAGATCGTAATGGCGATCTAACGGAGCTTGATACCCTGAAAAAGCATACTAATAAGCTCACATTACTGCCCAGCTAGGTTCAATACGTTGCCCTCATCCATAACATCACCTTCACCAGTCGTTGGTGGTGACGGTATGGCCCTTCCAGGGTGATCATGACCAACAGTGAATTCCCACGAGGGAACAATGCAGGGGAAGGATTGACGTGGGACGGCTGTGTTTGAGCATATGCGAGGAAATTCCAAACATCACTACAGTGACTAAGTGAAATATTCCGCGCTCAGACATCTTATCAAATCTCATCAAACTTTTATCCCACAAACCAAAATCGTGGCATAGCAAACGAAGAGCAACATCGTTCTTCTGACAGGAACCAGAATAAAAGCTGCATTTCTATTCTCGTGAAGCAGACAGACGCGATCGTTTGTGATGCGTGCACTAAAGGGGCAGTGTCACATGATGGAGGTAGGTGCGGTTGATGACGTCATTGATAAGTGTTGGTGGACCAGGGTGTGGTTGGGACCGCTTCTCAACGCCCTTCCCCCAATGTTGTTCAATGGAGGCATCGGAACCGAAACGATCGCGAGCCATCGTGATCTTAGCATTGAAGGAGTCCCATGGTTCCAAATCCACAAAGAGAAACCCTATAGATCACTACTATTAGTACCTCGTGGATATCTGCCGAGTTTTTGATTAAAGTCCGGATATCCAAGAACTGTAGCTCTCCTGAGAACGTAACCCCAGGAAAGGCGAACGGTATCGTAACCGAATAGAATATCTGGATCTGATCTGGAAACAACAGTCTCATCGAAAATACTGCCAAAATAAAAGTTCTATGATAATAACTTCACCTCTTCACCAACGATTCCAGTTCTTCGAAAAGTGACTGTTCGTCTGGAACCCAAACTAGACCCTCACATGACAGTTTCTGGAACAAAGAGTGGATAGCTATAAACAAATTGCAGGATGTCATGGGAGTGAAAACGTCAATTTTCACGGGTTTTTGAAAAAAGAAATCACTCTCTTGGATTTTGAGATCGTAATTTGCTGTGCTTTCATCTTCCTTATAATTATGACAAGCATACAGACCGTTTTAATAGTTTTCAGATATAGTATAAGAGTGTGCACACGCGGAAACAGGACAAAGTAATGAATCATTGTGGAGACAAATGGAAAAAGTTCAGATTACGATTAAGAGATTACATTAAAGGAATCTTCACGGAAAAATCATGATTCTATTTCAGCCATAAATCACTGGCTTGAGACTCATCATCCACGATAAGAATGAAAAGAACATTTGTTTTGTAAAAAATTCGAAAACCGAAAGGGCTGCTACGCGTTCAAAGTACCGCCGGACATCTGTCACAAATGCTGGCGACGGGATGCTTCCACTTGGTTCTTGGAGTGCCTTCACTAGAAACTCTTTCTGGCCTTTTGACTTATTGCATTCACATCTCACACTTCTACTCCATCCTATTCTATCGATCGATTTGTCTCTACTCTCCGAAATCGCGCGCTTTAACCCGATTCTTTCATTGCGTCGCCTGATACGTAGCCGCCCAAGCCGACTTCTTTCCATGCCTCGCCTTTGGCTCCGCCCCTTACCTTCGATTGTCCATAGAGTGTAGTTTTTGTACGTTTGTTTCTCTTCAGAAACCGAATCTTCATGCGTGAAACTTTGTGTGCTGTTTCCAGTGATCACAACTGAGGCGAGCGATTACGATAAAGAGGGAGCGCATCGGGGAAGCATGTGCACCACACGAATCAGTTACTTGGCTGCCAAGGAAGCGAGTGTGGCGCTTTCACAACGAAAGGTGCGCTGGTTGCTGAGCAGGACTTCGAATGCGCT